TGAAAACAAATCATGTCATCATTCATCTCCGTTAAAGTCTCACAAGTCTATATGCTTGTAAGTGCTGACAGAATTGGTCTTATCTGCCCCATTGTCTGATTTATTTTTAATAATTTCATGGTTTAACACTGCAGTAAAAGGTGCCAATTAAAAAGGTCAATTATGTATTTCATTCATAAGTCAATCAAAAAACCCTTGCATTAAGTGCAGAGCTTGAATATATCATAATTGGTGTTTCTGAGTCTTCCCCGCAACCACCCTTGACAGTAAGAACCTGACAGTATCATGGCATATTCCATCACAATGAAAACATTTAACCATTTTAGTGTTAGCCAAATCTGGATCTCTTAACAGTAAGTAAGTGTCCTGGCTGCAGCTGGGATAGAGTTAATTTTCTTCCTAGTAGCTGGGATAGTGCTGTGGTTTGGATTTAGTATGATAATAATGTTGATCACACACTGATGTTTTAGTTGTTGCTAAGTAGTGCTTACATTAGCCAAGGACTTTTCGGCTTCTCATGCCCTGCCAGCAAGACTCAACAGGTCCGGACAGCTGACACAAACTGCCCAAAGCGGAATTCTATACCATATGATGTCATGCTCAGTATATGAACTGGGGGAGTTGGTTGGGGGCACTGGGGCTCAGGAGCTGGCTGGGCATCGGTCAGCAGGTAATGAGCAATTGTATTGTGCATCACTTGCTTTGTGTATTCTTTTATCATTATTATTATAATTACTATTATTTTATCTTCCCTTGCTGTCCTATTAAACTGTCTTTATCTCAACCCAAAAGTTTTACCTTTTTTCCCAATTCTCCTGAAATATTTATTAGGAATAATAATATTTAACATGAAAGTATTTCAGTATGTTAGGCACTCACAACCAGAAACCAAGGCCTATGTCCTTGACCTAAGGAACTATTCCAGAGAGAGTATTTCTTAGAAAGCATGAAATATAAAAAAGAGCTAAATGGTGCTCCACTAAGCATTGGCAACATTAATTTCTACTTTTTAATGTGCTATATCATTGTGTCAAATGGATTCCTCAATGCTTTAGAAACAGCCGGGTATGCAAAGTCCTGGGAATGAACTTGGGAATGAACTGGGAATGAACTCTCAGGATCTTTTACAAGAGGATGCAAACTATCACAGCAGGTATTATTCTCCAAGAGATTCTGAACCTCAGTTGAGAAATTTCCCATATTATCCTGTATGTAAAAGCACTTAAGGAAGAAACAATCTCTGTTCAGATTAAACTAAGCACACCACACAATTAATCTACCATCTTTACAACACTACCTCAATCCAGTGAAACATGGATCTTGATGCTTTTGAAAATAAAAAGCAGTTTTGAACCCAATACATAAAAATAATGGAGGGCAATTTTTCAATACAAAAGTGATATTTCATGAACGCTGTGATTGCACAATCACTGTTACTGTCCAATATCTAGTTTTTAAATGTTAGTCTATTCTGAAATTTTCTTAGAATTTAAATTCCTGAAAGATATCTTAATTTCTTCAGCTAATGTTCCTGTTATGGTTACTACCAAGAACCAGACCAGGAAATCAGCAATATTAACATATTCAAGATTCTAAAGCTATTACTAATACTAATTACAATTACTATTGCAATACCGTATCTTAAATCAGTAAGCCACATAGTTTGTCACTAAAATTCAAGATTAAACATTTAGAAGAGAGAGATTAATGTGCAAACATTTTATATGCATGTAATTAAGAATGAGGTTAAGCTTCATGAGCAAAACAACTTCACCCAGTGCTCATTTTGTAAACTATGACTGTACCCCTTCTCAATCTTGAGGGCAGATACTCTACTCACAGAACCTGTTGTAAGTGAGCACTCCAATACATCCAGAACATCCCAACCTGAGCGAAACTGCGGACATGTCTGGGTCCACAGGATTGTAAATTTCCAAAGGCACAGCATAAAAATGATCTGAAAGTTAGACAGTGAATTCTATTTCCTGCACTATATTTTTGCAATTATTTTACCCCAGTAGAGAACTCCTTATTTAAAGCCACAAGAAGAGCATTAAGACAGCACGTCAGCAGTGTGCATAAATAATGCATAAAGTTTATAAACCTACAGTAAAAGTCTTCCAAAATTTATTTATTTCTCAACTTTGTAAAAACTTACACACAAGTACCTATGTAATACCATTGAAATTCAATGTAATCTCATTGAAATTCAAATAACAGTCATCTCTCTCTTTTCTTGTTCTCATACAGTAAAGTGACTAGATGTGAGCAGAGGATTTTATCTGAATTTTTATTTAGAAACTTCATTCCTGGAATGAGATACTGCACTTAGGATACTTATAAGTACAGAATTTGAGTTTTCTGTGAATATTCTTATAGGACTTTAATTTCAACCTTTTCAAAAAAATAGAGAAAACAGAAGTAAATTGGGAAATAAAGTCTGATATATGAAAAAAGAACTGACGAGAAACTAATTCCAAAAACACACCTGTAAAAAAAATTTCCCCCTTGTATTCTTAGTTTAGAGAATCACAAAAAAGCTGACAATATACAAATTTGTGCTATCTTCTGCAATACTTCCCCCCAACTTCAAAATTACATATGTGTCATCTAGACTATGACAGTACTTAGGTGTCCACAAAAACACATGATAACAATGTCACTTAGATGAACTGGAAAAGACATGCAATCCAATTAAGTTTATTAAATATTTTGAATTTAATAATTACAATGAAGCAGAAATAAGGGGACATCACTATCACCATCAAAAAGAAAAACAAACGGAGTCTGCAGCATCCCAACATAGCAGGTACAGCTACTAAGCAACAGTATTCTTAAGATCCACTGACTAAGGGTCCTACAGCTTGGGTTGTGGTTGACTGTAAGGACGAAGTAATGTATCCCAACACCAAGTACCTCCTCATGTGACTTGTTCAAAAAGAGGCACAGACTCCTTCAGAGGCAATACTCAGCAGCAGCAGCAGCTGGTGGGTGCTGTTGGCAAAGAATACACTACATGCTGATGCTATTTCAGATGCTTATTTCTTTTTCCAGTGCCTTTTTCCTTGTGATTAACAGCTATGCGTGTTTTAAAAAACTGGATTGCTTAGTGCTTTTATCCTTCACCTGATGCATGATTCAAAATTCCACCTGATGAAGCAGAACTGCAGGAAGGAATGTAACCTGTGTAAACATTATTTAATTGCAGAGAACAGTAATCTATTCATCAATAAATTTTGGTCAACATCATGAGATGGAAGTCAGACGCAGTTACTGTTTTGTTTAGCAGCGTAACTGCTTCTATTGCTCTACTTAGATGTTAACATCAAAGTACAATTTTTTTCCAGGATCTTTGGTGATCATAATACAAGATATTGAGACTTTCCTAAGAAGTTCTGAAAAGTGCTCATCAGTAGGAGTCAAGAACCTTCAGAACTTCATAGAATCAAGTAACATGTACCTGTTATTCTTGCTTCATTAAAATAAATGTATCACATACTTAGAAACATAACAAATCCAAAGGAGGAGGCATCTATGTATTTTGAAAACAATAAAAATCATGATCGAAGCAGAACATAAAACTATTATTTGCATATAACTACACTATCAGATTTTACATAATACTAAATTCAGACTCCAAAACTACACTGAAATTTAACTATCCTAAACAATGTAAAATTCAGCTGTAATTGAGATATTTTGCTTGAGTATGAGGATAAGCATTCTTTAAGAAAGTCTTGCTTATGTACTTCTCCCTAAGAGACTGAAAACTGTTCAGTTTGTTATCAAGTAGCAGTTATTTTTTTCACAGTCATATTTGCATAAACATTAGTTTTAGGATCAACAAACATAACTCTATCTTTACAAACATTGATACATTAGAGCAGCAAAGCTTTTGCTTGCATAAATGACATACCACTTCATCTTCAAATCCTCCAGCTAATACAAGTGAATAAGCTCCATCATTACTGCGTCCATGGATTCCACCCACATGTGGTCTGTGAACACCTGCTTCGCTCACCTGGCAACAGAAAAAAAAAACAGTTTCTAGCATGTTTTTCAAACCACCAGCCATCTACTATCAGTTTTAACAATCAACTTTCTGCTTAAAATATTGTACAGGAGTGTCTGTGTAAATCGTTACTGTAAGACTGCCATTAAAGGTGAGAATTCCACTTGTTTTTAAGGAAGAAAAGCCAAAAGTAAGGACACCCCAAAAAAGGAAGGACAATGTAGGACAGTGGTGACACTGGAAGATCTAAGGGTACACTTTCCTATTTGGGAAAAATCTCCACGATTCTTTCCATAAGCAGTATTTAAGACTGTACTCACTGCTACACTTCATTTGCACAGTCATTCAGAACAAACCAAAGCAGATGGAGATCTGCCAGTTTGCTAAAATTTTACAATTCTTAACTAAGGAAGATCACAGTGACCCATGTAAAGACAATGATGTCAGGTACTATTAAGGTAACACATGTAATGGTGACCGACTTAGAGTAATATTATCACACTGCCTAACGACACAGAAGAAGCAATTGCAACAACGTATGGACCATAAGCTAGCTCTCCAACCAGGACAACTCTCTTGTAATGAACGTGCAACTAAGCTGCAACCAGACCAGCTGAGAGCTGCAGCTGTACCATAAACTGGAAACATTATTAAAGTCTGCTGGAAATATCTCTCCCACAAAATTTATTATTTATTAAATAGTTTCAAACTACCAAATCATGTTTTAAAAAAAACAACACACCTTTGTGAATAAAAAAGTCTGCATATTAAATACGTATTTTCACAGTATGTGATGACAAAAATACTATTATTAGAATGAAGGTTCCCAGCAGAAAACCCATTAGGATCTTTCTTCCTACCTTCATTATCTTCCTTCACACCTTGACTTTGCCTGTTTTTCTCATTCTGCCTCTCCCATTCCTGAACTCTTTTGCCCAATCTACACTTTTAAGCAACTTGTGTGAAAGTTTACCTTCTTCGCCTATAGTATTTTCATAATACAATACATCAGATCAAAGGTCCAGATGGCCAAAAAAGCTGTCTCTTAACAACCGACAATAGCTATGCACAGTATGAAAACTATAGAAGGACACAATAGCACTTCCTTGCACAATTTTCTCAGCATCCAGCTGTCTGTGGCTTAGACCTCCTAAGCTACTTAAAACTTCTGGATTCATAGTATCCAAGAGAGAAAAGAGTTCACATCAGTACTGCTTGTCATATGAACTAATACTACTTTTGTTCATTTTGAAGTGGGCAGCTGACTTTTTTTTATGACCCCTTTTTGCATTACAAAAATATGCATATTGGTCCCTAAACATTTCTTCATACTGTACATCATTCGGTAGCCATCTACACTACACCACATTTTCAACATTCTTCCAGAATTAAAAATCTTACCTGTCCAGTCAAAACCATTCCATCCCTTTAATCACAATAATGTATTGAGTATTAATACATTACTAACACTATATATTAATATTATATCCATTTATTAATTACAATTAAGCGATATTATAATATATCATAACAAAACATTATTAAATTGTGATTATTAATATATTATATATTAATAATATAGATTGTTAATTATCAATAATGCCGTTCATAATAATGTATTTTATTTTCCTGCCCTTTCCTGTCACAACAATTTAACTTGATTTTTTTTTTTTGATCACTATACTGTATGAGGACAGTCTGAGAGAGTTGGGATTGTTCAGCCTGGAGAAGAGAAGGCTCCAGGGAGACCTTCTTGCAGCCTTCCAGTACTTCAAGGGGCCTTCTAAGAAAGATGGGGACAGACTTTTTAGCAGGGCCTGTAGCAGTAGGACAAGGGTTAATGGTTTTAAACTAAAAAACGCTAGATTTCAACTAGATCCAAGGAAGAAATTTTTCACTATTGAAAGAGGGCAGATTCAGACTAGATATAAAGAAGAAATTTTTCACAATGAGGGTGAAGAAACACTGGCACAGGTTGCCCAGAGAGGTGATAGAGGCCCCATCCCTGGAAACCTTCCAGGTCAGGTTGGACGGGGCTCTGAGCAACCTGACAGAGCTGAAGGTGTCCCTGCTCACTGAAGGGGGTTTGGACTAGATGACCATAAAAGGTCCCTTCCAATTCAAGCTAGTGTATGATTCTACGATTAAGGTGACATATTTTCAAAATTAGCTATTGCAGGATCTCTTTCTTAAATAATAAGTAGCTGAAAGCCCATGACAAATTATATAGTTTGAACTCTTCCCCACCCCATCTTTACTATCCACAACAACTTAGCCCTCTCGCCTAACTTGATCAGATATTTGCCCATTTTTCCAGACCATTTATGAGTATGCTGAATAAAAAGTCCCCACTATTGCGCTCTTCTTTCCTGCTGTATCAAACATCCTTTCATTAATTCCTCCCTCCTTTCTTTCATTTCCAGGTTTTATCAATTAAATTTAGGTTTCTGGTAGGTGATTCACCCCAAAGATGAACTCTGGTAAGTAATTCATGCCAAAGATGCTCTTCAGATGCTCTCTCCAGAAGCAATACTTAGTCAATTTCCTTCTAGGGAAAAGAGAGTTTGTGTCATAAAAAACTACGCAAATCAGAAATTAAGAAACTACAGTCTCTAAATTCTCATAGATTTGCTGAGACAAACTCATTTCTCATACAAAAGACTAGTCATATGAGAAACGAAAGTGTAATTTAACTTTCTACATAGAAAACATTTAAATCTTAAAAAAAAGTATCTAATTTGTATGCAAAATTAAATAATTATGTAGAAATGGTAATTGACTTTTGATGTCTAGTCCACACAAATATATATAAAAATTAGCATTCTCTGCTTAATTTTCTGACAAAAACAGGGCTCTAATTCTATTCCTTTTTCCTACCAGCACTAGAAAGATCTGAAAACTATTAGCTTTTGTGTTATCAGTGGAATTCCTAACAAAAAGATGAACTATATAATTGACATTATTGTTGAAGCAGTGAAAATAAAACTTGATTTTGAGATTTTGAGTTTGCGTAAGTGATTTCAGAAACTACACTTACTTATGAGATTTTACTTAATCTGGAAGTCAACAAAAAGATAACTATTTTAATTCTAACCATTTAACCATTAACTGTTAGCATTTATTTTAATGCTAACCATTCACAATAAAAGTTCTTTAAACACAGGAGAGGTCAACAAAATATCCCAAAGTATCAAAATTGAATTTTCCTGTTAAGCAAGTAATTTTATATAAAATCACTGGTATGATGAATGGCATAATGTTACATTACAAATTAAATTTGCTTCATCTAAGACTTGTATTGATGGTAGTGTTGATGATGGACATCAAGATGAGACAGGACCAAAAGAACTAGTTTCAGTTTCAGCTTCACTGTGATTTCTACCAATGAGTCAAACTGAAAACTGTTGATAAGCAGAAAACGTCTGCTGCTAATCATATCAGCCTTAAAACTTGCATGGCCTTGCAAATCCAGAATTCTTCACACAGTACTGGAAGACACCACCTTCAAGAGGAAAATTGCCTACTAAGTGTTCTCTTCTACCAATTCAGTAATAAAATATCTGCTTTCTTCTCATGAGAAAGCAGGTGATTAAAAGTTCATAAAAGTAATCAGAAGAGGCTTTTGATTCTTGGCTTGCCCCTCCTCAAGCAGTTTAGAAAAACCTGTTTCTAGTCTTCCAAATACGATAGAATACATTTAATTACAATCCTTTACACATGCAACAGAAAAAGAAATAACTGATTTTAAAAATAAAGAAGTATCTATTTCCCCAACTAAAACCAGCAATTAAAAAATCAAAGATAAAACAAAAATCAGTGCTATCATATAAGGCTGGGGGAAAGGGAAGTAAGTTTGCTGGACACTTCAAAACCACAAAAAGTCAGTACTGGCACAAAATGAAGCTTTGTTTTTTCCTCCCTGCTTTGTTTTTTCCTGCCCCTCTGAGTATTGGCGTATACTGTGCGTATATAACCAAAATGTAAAATGGACAGGGAAAATTAACTCCCCTCCTACCCCAGATGGGATTATTTTTCTGCCTTTTTTTTTATCAATCTAATTTACCATACAGCCTAAAGAATATTTGCAACAGAAAATGAGCGCAAGAAACAACAAAGGCTGAATGGACAGCTAATTTCAGTAGGAGTACAAGGTTACACTGGTTTAAGCAGTTCATCAGCCTGAAACAAGATTTGGTTATCTGTTATGTATGACCAAAAAAACCAACAGGGAATCAATTTACAGTGCTATCACCTAATGTTTTAAAAATCTACAGTCTACACCTCATAAGTGGGATAATCAGTTCATGTGAAGTACACTTCAGAAAATACTTGACTCTATTCACTAAGTATCCCATTTAGAGTTTTAACATGTGAAATTTGTTTATCCTAATGACAAAAGAATTCTTAAGCTGTATTGTAAAATCAGTTTACTTCAACCTTCACTACTATGAACATCGCTCCCAGGAGTAGAATCTTCATGTAATTGCCTTGTTTAGTCCTGATGAAAATGGCAATTGTCAACCTAAAATTATTTTAGTGCCCAACCCATTCAACCAATCTTACTTACTTCAACTACAACTAATTCTGACACAACATACCTGAACTCTGAATTTCCAGGTTGTCCCAACAGGAACACCAGGTATAGGTCCATAATGATTTGAAGGAACAATAGTGCATTCCTTAGTTCGACCAACACAGGCCATGCCCTAAAAATACATCAGACAAAATGTATTAGTATTATAATATTGCAGACTATTTGCAAATTCAATGCAGATATCACAAAATCTGATCATTATAACAAACACATACTTTACAATATGTTAACAATTGTTAAAAGGAATGTTAATTAAGTAATATGTGTTTAAGGGTTTGGGGGAGGGATCGGGGTTGTGTTTTTTTGTTTTTACACCTAGTCACCTTAATAATTCTTCAACTGCCAGTAGATAGTGGGCAGGATTAAACATTGTCTTATTGTCTGTACAACCCAGTACTGAATTTTGTGTAGTGCATATATATGTAGAATTATAGATGTAGCACATACATGAACAATCAGAGTAACAGCTATTTCTAGAATACACTCTACCTTGCCCCAGTCTCTCTGGCTTTCAGTACTGGCAGATGGCATCTTTGCTTTCTTTTTACTCTGTTTGAGCTTTTCTCCAGCCTTTACAACTTCATTAGAATCATTTTTGCAGGAAGGACAATACCTAAAAAAAGGTTTTAGTAAATTCTCAATTACTTCATAATAATGGCAATGCATTTCTTGTAGCCAAAATAGTGTCAATTTTTTTATCGTGACTGAATATTTCAAGCTAGCAAACATATACCAGTCTTAAGCAGCTGACGCCTGTGGCTTAAAAAATGAACCCAACATGAATACTGTCAACTTTTTTAAAAGGGCATTTCAGTATCTTTGAAGGTAGAGTGCTAGAGGCAAAACATTTAACTATTCTTTCTCACATGGTATGTCTCCTGTATTCTCTCCATTCTGTCCTCTTTTATTCAGATCATGTAAGGAGAAGATAGCTGAGATGAGAGGACACTGCTAAGCAGTACTCATGGTTTGTTTCTACATCCTGCCCACTCCACCCTTATTTTTTGATTCTAGTGCAATAAATTTCACTGCAGACAGCTGAATATACGAGCCAAGGTATCATGTAATGTGCATAGACACACACACATGCACACACACTCACTCACTCTCTCACTCCACAACACTGAAGCCACATAGAATAGAGCACTTGAGAGTCATTCCAGGTAACACAATGCCATCCTGGTAGGAAAGTAGGAGATATTAGTATGCAGTACCTACAGCAGAGAGAGCAAGGGAGTACACCAGTCCTTTCGCTGCTTCTAATAACATTTTTATCCCACTCTAGGAATGCCAATGCAAAGGCTATTGTCCATGTTTCTGGCTCCCACGGGCTGGATTTGGTGCATACGCCACTACTGGAGGAAGCCTGATCTACAGTAACATTGACAACCTAGTTTAGATAACAACCACTAGCACTGCTACTACTACCACTGTTTTGTATTCATTAATTAACTTTTGTATGTGGATATGAATAGAAGAATTAATGATTAATGTCCACAGGAACAGATTTCACTATGTCAATAAAGGTGTTGAACCATTAAGACAATGCAGCTATCTAGATAAAAAGAAATTAAAAATAATACAAGATGTTGAAATTGTCTAACACCAAGACATTGAATGACATTACAGTTGCTTAAAAAAAAAAAACAGTATTCAATGACTGATTAAAAGAAGGAACACGACACAATGCAAATTCACACAGTGAATTAACTATGGCGTTCCCTGCTTCTTATTAGGGTAACAATATTACCTTAATATTTTTTAAACTGAGTTTTGTATGGAATATTAAATACTGTTTCGCACACAGAGTGGCTTAATCTCCGCAAGAGAAATTTATCGTCCTTTCCCAAATTGCACGCTTAGCCCCTGCAGAGTTTGCCAAATTTTACACTATAAAAATACTAAACGCAAAGTTTTTCCGTCAAGAAGTTAAGGATCAGACAGGCATGACTTTTTGCTAGAATGCAAGAAGAAGGGAGAACACAGACCTCCTCTTTGGTAGGCAACATAGCTTTGCCCAGTGCAACCACACTCCTTCTACATACGACCAAGCATTAAGACTGCACAGGGCTGGCACCACTAAGTATCCCAAAATTAACTGTCACTAGTCAGCTCCATAACAGTACCTCTCCCACACAGTGATTTCACCCACAGATGCCTCTATCTACTTAGAGTAATAAATCTTAAGACTTACATCGTTACAGAGCAAACAAAAACAAGTTAAAAAGCTTGACAGCCATTTTTCAAGACATTTTAATTATATGAATTAAGCTTCTACTACTTGCAGAAATTTGTAATTTTTTGGACAGAAATGTAAACAGAAAGGTCTAAAACTGCATTTAACATATGACCTGAGGGCCTATAAGGACCATATTGTCAGTCAATTTAATTCTTGTGTGGTAGCCTCAGGAGCGCTGAATATTCTTTACAGAGGAAAACAGTCCAGGGGACCTATGCAGCACTGTTACAGTGATATTAACGGAACAGTGTAGGGAGAGCTGAGCAGTAATGTCTACACTTTGAAAAATATTCTATTCTTCAAATTTTCTCCATAGCCATCTGAAATACAATGAGAATAACTCATAAGAATGTTTCATAAGAAGCTTTTGAAAAAGAATGGGTGCCAGTGAAGACTAGAACACTAATACCTAACCTGAAAAATCATTTGGAGCACTCAGCAGGCCAAGATAATCTTAGCACACTAGCTAAACGACAGCTGGTGCGATTTCAATATCAGTATCCTGATGTGCCTATCAAACCTTTTGTGTATTTGAGGATGTAGAATAAAATAGAATAAATTGTTTTCAGGGTAGAACAAAGGATTCGTGGGTTTTGTGGCAGGGGGTCACTGGCTTGAAGTACATATATATTCTTTATCAGAAACTTTCCTGTGACTAATTCCAGAAAATAGATGGACTTTACTGTTGCTGGAGTTGGGATTAGAGCCTGTTCTGAGTAAGAAGCAACTGAAGAATGGCAGGACTGAACAGATGTGTACTTCCAGAGAGACAGTCTCATTGAATATTCTGAACGAAGCCAAAAAAGAACTTCTCAGCTGCTATATCCAAAGGTCAGGTGCAATCAGGTGATGAGAGCGGTTTCCAACACGTGACATCAACTTACTTATGTTGACAAATAGTAAGGAAGAAAGAAAATGTCATGCACAGAAGACCAGACTGCCTTGACAGTAGAAAATTTGAGGATAGTTCAGACTAACATACTGTGTAATAAACACTGCTGAATAAACACTGCAACAATTTTGCATATGCAAGAAGTGGAAGGCACATAAGCACTATTCAAATAAATGCTATTTTTAGTTCCAACGACCCATAGATATTTCTAGTAGGTACTGAAAGTATTTCTTAGTGTTTCAAGCCAGCAGTTCCTCCAAAAATAATGAATACCACTTTTTCAATTCATAAATTTCGTGGGAAAAAGCTCAGCTTCCAATGACAGTATCCCTATTGGCCAAATGTACACATTGAAAAACATCTACCAATGTTAATGGTCTTGATCACTAAATCACACATTGGCATAAACACAGAAGGAGGTCAAAAAAACCACAGTGGACCAGAAAACATGCAGACTACTAGGCACTGCCCAATAAACAAGCCTACTATGGCATCCACTATGGTACAGGAGATTGAGTTATTTATTTCCAGAAAATGTTAAAACTTCCAAAGCACTTACACAGATTTTTACATAAAATTTAATCAGAAGGTCCAAAGGGATTCCATAAAATGTATCCATAGACATCTTAGACATTTATTGATGTCTATGTAATGGAAAAATTCATTAGAATAAAGTTCTATTTATTACTCATTTATAAAGGATTAGTATCTCATGTAAGTCACAGGCAGATGATAAAATATGAACAGTGTAAATTGTAAATAGCTAATAAAGACAAAAAATTATAGAGCCCAAGATAACTTAATGGGCTGCTAATGGGTCCATGCAGATTCACTTCAAAATAACAATTATCTTGATTTAACAATGCCAGTTAGCTTGGTTTTCCTGCTGGCAGAGCCAGGGACAGTAGAAATGAAGAGTAGCAAAATGGTGGCCCTCCCACAGCAGGAGAAATGAATGGAGTAGAGGCAACGAGAAGATACAGGAAGGGCACAGGGGCAGCAACAGGGACAGAGGATGAAGTGAAAGAGAAGGGTGAGCGTAAGAGAACTCTTCAAGCAATGAAGCTTGAATGAAATTAAAAGCTGGGGAACAAGCACTGTTGATAAAAACAATCAGATCAGAAAATGTCACAGAAGATCATAGTGATCATAATTAATAAAATGAACATACCAGTTTTGAATTAAAGCTTACTACTAATCCTTTGTGAATGATTTAAAAGAATTACCTTGACAGAAAACATAAGGTTTACATTAAGTAGATAGATGAAAAACACAGCAGGATTTAAAAAATTCTTCAGTACTGTCTCTCATGAAGTGCAAGTAACAAAAAGGTACCATGTATAGAATGGCAATATAGGTAAGTAAATCATCCTTGTATATTTACCAGTCCTCATCTTCTGGTATCTTGCTTAAGGGAGGGTTCAGGCAGTATATATGGTAAGCCATATTACATTCATCACACAGGAGTTGCATGTGAGCATCCTGTTTTCCACCACACAAATAACATGAACAAAACCGGCACTCCTTATCTGGATCAGCCCTACAGTGCTTGCATTCAGGGCCACTTTTTCCTGCCAAAAATAAAGAAAAAGTCAAATGCCACGTATCATAGAAAAATGCATTACTGTATCTACAGGAAAAAAATATTTCTGCACATGAACACTGCCCTCTTAAAAATGCTTTTTTCTTACAATGAGGTATTTGACTGTCTAGGTTAATGGGATTTCTTCTGCTGCATAAACAAGCAGTAAAGAAAATTACTTATCAGCAGCTTCTCTTATTTTCTCCCCTCCTGTTCCCAACATGCCACCTGCACATTCTCTCTGCAGAAAGAGCTTTGCACAATCTCTAGCTGGATTTTTCTTTAATACAGCCACAAAGAAATTCCAGTTAGGTAACTGGTAACAGTCAAATGAGGATGAAACTACAATTTGGAACATCTCTCTCCCTTAAATTAAATTTACAGTTGGATAGAAGAATTAGTAGTCTGAGACCACAGACAACCCCAAATTACCAGTTGTTTCACAGAAACGGTTTAGTTTACACACAAAGAAACACTAAGTTGCTGTTTCAGCTCACTGGGAAATTTGGACCCATGAACCCCACTATGAAACAAAACCATTGGCATTGGTTCCTCAATCAGGGGAAAATGCTTTTATACAAGAGAAAAACACTTAGTAGCCTAAACTAGATATGAAAGAGGAGACGGAAGAAACATTGAATACTTGTAGCAGAGTTAACACTTACAGGAGAAATGTTTGAAACAAATAGAAGGTCCAGAGAAATGCGAGAAGAATTCAGAACAGAACTTGATCACAGCCAAAAAAATTCCAAGATTAAAATTTTTAAAAAATTCATTTATAGGTTCTGTGCAAAACTCATCTAGAAATGCCAAGTAAGTGAATTTGAGCTTCAACTAGTCTAATACAATAATTAATAGAGTACTTCCAAACTTCTGTGTAATTAGTATTTTATTTGAAAGAAGTAATTGGCTTTGAATCAGAAGGCAAGGAAGACTAGAGAGACTCTCTCAGAGTTCGGAGTTGGAAGTAGGAAGCTGAAGAATCTAGCCATCTGAGAGAATAGAACATTTTGCTTAAAAGTTTAGAATGGGCCAGAAAATGTTATTTCGAGTACCATTCTGGAAGAAAAAATAAACACAGGTTACAGAAGTTCAGAAATTTCTGCAGCTGGAATATCAACACTTGGGATAAACTTTCTTGTAAGTCCAAGGAAAACTATCTGAGGAACTTCTGAACTGTTTGACAATGTCTACTTAAAAGGGCAATTGGCCTAGGACAGTGTGATAAGAGCAGACAAACTTATCCCTGTCATAAACTTTGCCAAAAATACCCAAAAGTCATCAGTCGCACAAAAAATAACATATTCATTTTCTGGGACAAAACCTTACTGAATATGTCCATGATGTCACAATCAAGCTCATTAATAAGGAATTTGAAGAGCAGCTTCACTACAAAAATGAAAACAAACAACTCCTCCAAGCCCCCCTACAGCTGTTCAGAAGCAGCATGCACATCAGATTCTTCCACAGGTGCTAAGCAGAAAGAATATTAGACAAAAAAAAAAAAAGGGCACAATCAACAAATCATAATTTTAAGAAAACACTGCCTTTTCTCATGAAAGATTTAACCCTTAGGAAAACACAGAATTTTTTTCATACTAAAGGACTGCTGCCTTTCTGATACATTTTTAGGGGAGACTAGAATTTGTCAAACCCCAAACATGGAGAATTACCCCAGGTTTCTCTGACTAGCATGAGAGAACAATATTCAAGGAGAAGCTTCCATCTTCTCTCAGCTTTATTTTTCTTCACCATGAGTCATTGTCTAAGTTGCTGCCCTCAGAAGCTGTATAGCTTATCAGATCCTTTTAAGTTACTTTGCTTGGACAACAAAAGCAATCAAAGTAAATATTTCTGTTAGGAGGTGATTCTTGACTAGAAAGATGAGGTAGATCCCTGATGTTTCCAGAGGAGTTCTTGATACTTTTATGTTTTTCCTAAGTGTACTGAGAGGGAAAGAAATGACTAAGGGTTTGCAGAAATCCC